TCCATCCGCCCCTACATGAGGCTACATCTTCCTTCCATTGCAATGCTACCATTGCCAACAATATGGTCCACTGTGCAGAAAGTGGATGAATACTGCAAAATCTTTGGCGATGCTTCAGTAGCAAAATTTATGCCTTCAGAAGATCTTGCCAACACATTTAGATTGAAATTCTTGCATTTAATACATATGTCAGTCTTCGGCCAACTATTTAGAAAAAAAGTAAGGTTTCTGGTACGTTGGATGGATCAGGATGCACTGATGCTGTAAAGCTTGTCTGGAAATTGGTTGTGATGAGTTCCCACCAAAAAAAATTTAAACAAGATGTAGTTGCAGTCACATTAGAGTGGTCAGACTGCTGACTGCATCATCACATGTTTAGTTGACACTTGCTGTACAATTGGACTGTTTTTAGGGTAAAATTAGTTATTTGGGGTAAGATGTGCATGCAACCTTGTAAATAAGTTTGTCGCTTGTAAATAGTTTTTCATTACTCAGCGTAAATGGCCAGTGTTTGATCTGGTCCCACCTTGGCGTTGTCTGTCTTCTCTCATTTGTCTTAACTTCCAAGCAAATTCTGAGGTTGCCACACCAAGCCTCTTCGCTGCTCATCTCGATGAAAAATATCCAAACTACAAAGAAATTTATTGTGATGGCTCAAAATTAGTTGATGGCCCATCCACTTCATGTGGACTTTATGTTCCATCCATGAAACAAGCCATTGCTTGGAGGTTGAATCCATACCATAGTGTTTTGTCTGCTGAACTGATTGCAATTTTGCAGGCCCTGTGGCTCAATGAAATTGATTCTTTCCCTCAATAGGTCATCTGTTCTGATTCTCTTGTAGCTTTACAGCTATTATTATTACTTACTGGCACTTGCTGTGATCTTGTCTATGGCATCCATAATCCATGAGCTGCTATTACGGCTGAATGTTGCAAAGTCTGTGCATCTGCAGTGGGTCAAGGCCCACAGCGGCATTGCTGGTAATGATCGCACTGATGCTGCTGCCAAACTGGGACAACACCTGCATCACTCTGCCTGTTCCATATACCTTGCTCGGATGCCCTTGCTATGCTTCGGACAGGCTTCCTTAATTTTTGGGAGTTTGATTGGGTTTCTGCGGTGGCTACTGATGGACAGGGTCATCATCTTGCTTCCATTCGTTCAGGATTATCTCCTGTCCCATGGATTGCTTGTCATTCTTGCCGTGTTTCAGTTATTTTAACTCGCCTTCGTCTGGGACATGTTGGAGTTTGCTTTTACCTTCATCGATTTGGGATGGCTGACACTCCCATGTGTCTGCATTGTAGGGTTGAAAAAATAGTTGAACACTACCTCCTGATCTGTGCCCAATACGTCCGTGAGAGACATGTGATGTATCAAGCATCAATGCCCTAGGAGTCCCTCTCATCTCTGCGTGTGCTTCTTGGGGGAGGCAATTACCCCAGAAGAGTTCAGCACTCCATAGTGCGAGCAACTGCTATGTATCTCACACAAACTAGCAGTCTCACACAAACCTTATAGCTAGTGAAGAGCACTGGATCTAATGACAGTTTGCTACAGACTGCTGACAACCTGGAGAACAAGTACCAGCTGAGAGAGGAAGGAGAGAAGCTGAAAGTGAGAGGATGAAGACTTGCACTAAATTAAACAATAATTGCTGAGTCCAGGTGTTACAGGCAGTCTGCGCATGACTACTCCTTCACCTTCAACCCGGCATCAAATCAAGTAACTAGACCCAAGTAACCCTAACTAATCGGAAAGCAGAAGTTAAACAAGAAAATGTTAAATCGTAGATGCCAAAGGTAGACTCACCAAGCATTGGCTGGCGAGGGCGTCAAGACCAAATTTCAGAAATATCAGTTAACCCGGCCCTGGCGGCTGGCATCAGTTAACCCGGCATCCAGCCCGGCTGGCCCTCCGGCCAGGTAGAATTAATTTTTGATTATTTTTTCTATATTCATTGATAATATCTTTTTATATTCAATTGGCAAATTTCCACAAACATTATTGAAACATAGGAAGTAATTCACTTGGAATGGCAAATATGTCATTCCAATTTACCATGTGTCAGTTTTAGTTTAGCCAATTCAGGAATTGAATTTGTATTAAAATCTTATATTTAATTTGAAAATTCACTCAAGGCTAGAAGGATAGAAATGCAATTGCTGTGTGAGTGTGAAATGGCAAAAATGCTGATCAAACTTGACGTATGGCAGTTCAGCAGTTAATGAAATTCAACCTAATAGGCTAATAGGTTGCTGCGTAGGCTTGTAGCTCCATTTGGAACCAGTGGAGAAGAATGGATTCATAATGAAATTGTAAGATTAAATAAATATACAAGTGGGTGCATAGGCTTGACAGGGATGACAAATAGCCCAGCATTGCCCAATACCAGTATAATTTTCATACTTCACCCCGTGCGCAGGCATGCTGCAGAGCAAATTAGCCAACATGATTACTTGCTGAAAGCCACAGGGACTAAATCCCTTCATGGATGTAAACCAGCAAGCCAATGAGCTGCAAGCCACCAAAACAATGGTCGTAACCCACACACTAAACCCCAAAATATTTCTATTCCATGCAGCCTAGCCCTTTCACCACTTTCTATGAAGAACGCCCTGTGCCACAGAGCTATCAGTACACTGCTACCTCTCCAGCCTGTCTGTTCTTCTAAAGGCTATTCCCCTGCCTGTCCGTTCTTCTAAAGGCTGTTCCCCTACCTGTCCGTTCTTCTGGAGGCTAAACCTCCATGCTTACCCCCTGCTCCCCCTCCTTTTGGTACCGTACCAGCTTGCAGAAGAATTCTAACCTAACCCTTTCGCGGTATCGTGGAAAGGTGGAGAGAAGGGGGTAAGTGTGGAGGAAGAAGATGCTGGTGAATGTCAGGGCTGGGCTTACGCCTGCAAAGTGGGTAAGGTGATGCAACGTCCGGTGAGGGGCCGTTCCCATTTATGGCAGTCTGGTGCGGTCTGCAGACCCTGGGGCTTACGGCATTTTTAGGACTAGGAAGTGATGGTATGGACTTAAATCATTGGTGTAGGAGCTATAGGGCACAATCCGTTTGGAGTATCAGCTTGTGGGCTGAGGCATTGCTTGTTTCAAGCTGGTGTGGCGAGATGAGACAAGTAAGAACAGCTGCATAGGTGTTGGCTGACTATTTCTATTGCATGTAGAGGGTTGGCATTGGCTCTTGGGCTGATTTAAGAGTCAAATTTTTGGGCTACGGCAGTTCTCCCATTACCTACCCTGTATGTGCAGAAATGGCCACCATTTTGTTTGGGTTGAGGTTCAAAAATTGTCAATAAAGTTTAAAATTTGACTCCTGTCTGCAACTTTTTTTCAAGTAAAATTGTTTAATATGGCAAACATTTTTCTTACTACAGACCTTAGCAGGACTGCAGGAGTACTTTTTCAAATATCACTTACCAACATTTTTTTAGGGATTTTTTAGAGCTAGTAAATGTAATATTTCTCAACTTCCTTTATGCTGTATAGATAGGAAAAATGGTAATACTTTAGATTAAGTGCATCCAAAAAATGGGTGTTTTTTAATTATATGTTTTTTGGGGTGTAGATTGAGAATCTGAAATCCTTTTTTTGGCGGTTAGCATTTTTTTTATACATTTTCTATAGAAAATGAACCTAACCTAACCTAGCATGATTTTTGGGTTTTACATAGGTTTACAGACTGGAAATGATCTGTATCGATCTGGGAATGACTGTAAACCTATGTAAAACCCAAAAATCGCGCTAGGTTAGGTTAGGTTCGTTTTCTATAGAAAATATATAATAAAATGCCGACCGCCTAAAACGGATTTCAGATTCTTAATCTACACCCCAAAAAACACATAAATAAAAAAACAACCTTTTTTGGATGCACTTAATCTAAAATATTACTGGAAAAATTTTGAAGTTTGTGCCACTATTTTTAGTTGTCCCAATTTACCCTGCCTGTCCCTTATTACCCCATTTCAGGCATGGAATATAGGTATCTACATGGCAAGCCGTGACTAGATTTTTCGAGCCATGGCTTCATGGTTTGCCTGCCGTGTATCCATTTCTTCAAGCAGTGGCTTCATGGACTTGCCAGCTGTGATTCCATTTCTCGGACGTAAAAAGCAATTTATGACCCGCAAACTTGTTATTTACAAAGTCCCATCACTCCCGTGCATACTAAGTACCATGTTATTTACAAAGTCCCATACAAAAAACAGGCACATGCATTTATCTTCACTTAAGTGGCAAGTGTGCAAGTGATAATGCAGTATGACCATTCTGACATAACTGCAACTATGCAATCTTCATGGAGAAAATGTTTTGAGTTGACTTGTTATTACATTCTGCATGTTATTTTGGTGGGAGGCAAGAGCATTGAAGTATATATACTGTAGATTGCAGAAGCTGGAAATGTTATGAAATGACATGTTTGCAAAGTGCAAATTGCAATTTTTTTTCAATCAAACAAAATTTTGTGACATTAGAGCCGTGAGATTTCATACCTTCTAATATTATATGATATTAGAGTCGCTATATTTCCAAAAAATAGGACTTCTCCAGCCCTGTCCCATTTGATGGTAATGTATAGCTATGGTAATATATAAAGAAAGGAAAAACAAGTACGTACAAATCATCTACAAAGGAAGAGAAGGATTTCGGAGTACTGTTGGTAATAGATGAGTACACTTTGCCTGCTCCGAATGTCTTAAAATTAGGTTTTATTTCAAGTGTCCCAAATCGCCCCATTCCCAGAGAAAAATTGGGATGTTTTTATTTTGCAAGTGGCTACTTACAAATAGCATTTGGAATCATTTTAGAGATGACATATGATAGCCCTTGCTAAGACTTTTAAAATGAGCTCAAACTTGTTTCTGAAATGTTTCATGGTGAGAAGTTATTGATGAAAAATGCTCGAAATTTTCCCATATTACCCTGTTAGTTGGCACTTCTATTCAAAATTCAGTGAAGCTTTAATCAACATTTATTGCTTTCTATTTCCAGTTTCACGGCAGTGTGATTTGAAGGACTCAATGACATGGGACCTCTTATTTTGATCTTGCTTCTTTGTGCTGGATTATCCTGTGGACTTGATATTATTAACCAAGAAGAAAGAGTACCAAAGTCTTTTAATGACAATCATGAAAATTTTATGTTTGCAACATTACCAATTCAAACTGAAGATGATATTGTGAACCAAACAGAAGTTCCTGTTAGCAGTTGGGGAGGTCTGTATCCTCAAACTTCTGTATCTCGTGAGGTGAAGCCTCTAGATGGTGTATGGAGTTTCCGATTAAGCCCCAAGGATGACCCTGACAAAGGATTTAGAGAATTGTGGTTTGAGAAACCTCTGTCTACTACTGGCACTGTCATTGCCATGGCAGTCCCAAGTAGCTATAATGAAGTCACTGAAGATAAGAACATACGTGAACACGTTGGATGGGCTTGGTGAGTTTAATAGGTTTTATTAGGGTGATAATGATGTTATCAAGGTTTTTGGCACATATAAGAACAATTTTTGATTAATAAATTAGCCAAATCAATTATTCTGAGGGGTTGGGCAATAATGGGTTTTGTGATGATGGGTTGGTTAATTATTTTCTGTTATTTAAGAAAAGATATAAAATAATTGTCAGAAATAAAAGTTTATATTGATGAATTCTTCAGCCTCAAATAGTTGCATGGAATAGGTTGTTTATAGCTGAATCTCAATATCAATCTACATAGTAGAGTGGGAATATTGATATAAATTTCATGCATTAAAAGCCCAAGATATCATTTAATTCTTTTCTATTAGTTTTCAAGTCTTCCATCCACATTGCTTGCTCTGCAATCAAATTTGTTTCTTGAAAATATTTAACAAAACCCTGATATTTGTATGGATATTTTTTTTTGTATTTTTCTGACATGACAGCCAATTTAGTATTTATATTTTTGTACACTTGTTAATAGAATTGTAATTGCCAGGTATGACACACAATTTTATGTTCCGGCGCGCTGGCAAGATGAGAAGAAGAGGGTGGTGTTGCGTTTTGGATCAGTTACTTACAACTCAATAATTTACCTCAATGGAAAAGCCATTACTTCACATCTTGGAGGCCATCTGCCTATAATGGCTGATGTAACTTCCTCCCTGATGTATTCATCCAAAAATTTGTTGACTGTGGCAGTTAATAACACTCTCACTCCTGAGACCATTCCTCAAGGCACCATAATCTTCCATAATGACCTGAGCAGGTGAAGTTAAATTCTCTAAGGGAATATTCATAAAATTACTAATGCATTCCTGTTTTCAGCCTTTCATCTTAATTCACTTTCTAAATTATCTTGATTCACTTTTGAAAAAATGGATTCATCATTATGAGGTGATAACCACATACAAAAAAATCAATGAAAATTCACCTTGTAAATTTCTCTAACTTTGTTTTCCCATGAATTGAGTGTATGTAGCAGCTATAGCAATAGATGACACTTATTGATGTTGAACCACCAGTCTGCACCAGAGCAGGCTGCAATTCTAGGATAGTGCACAAATTTACTTTCATTTTTGGGTGGATACATGTCCCTTTCCAGCTGCAATTGTTTGAGATGTCATCATCTCTAGACTGTGACTGGTTGTGGGATCATGATGTCTTTATATCCAGACTGTGATGGGATATGCAATGGCCTTTCCAATATGCTATGTATTTTTGGTCTTTTAAATCCTCTCTAGATTTCCACCCTGCACCAGAGCTTGCTACTGTTGCTTTTGTATGTGCATTTCTCCACCTCTAATATCCCCTTGTACAATAAAATACTAGAGCTTTTTCTTACAGAAAATGTACCTAGTACGTATATATATTTGCCAGGAGTGCTTCAAGTCAGGTCCTTGTGGATATTTCAGCAAATTTTTCAATTAGAGGCATTTGTGCAAAGGGGCTTGCTAGCTTGAGATAGTACTTAATTCTATTATCATTGGTTTAGATAATTATGTGATCTTGTATTTTTCAGATATCCTCCTGGGTATTTTGAGCAGAAGTACAATTTTGATTTCTTCAATTTTGCTGGTATTGATCGACCAGTTTTTCTCTACACAACTCCTCAAACCTATGTGGACAACATCAGAGTTATAACTAAAGTTTTCAACACACAGGGTTCTTATTCTGGTGAGCCATGAATGAAAATTGATGGCCTTTAAGGCTTGTTCTCGCTTATTTTAATGTTCCAACTTAATAGAAGCATGTGTTATTAAAAGTTTGTGAAGATTTTCTTGTCCATTCAGCATTCATGTGCCATGAATAATTAGGATGAAGGTAAACAGGTAATTTGTGGTTGTACTACCTTTCTCTCACATGTTTATCATATATACATAATTATGGATTAAAACTTCACAGCTTCCATTGAGTATGACATCACATCCCAATCACCTGCTGGCCAAGACAATGCAAGCTGTTCTGTATTTCTTGTGGATGCAAACGACACATTGGTTGTGAATGGCAGCAGCTGTAGTGGTACTCTGACAGTGTCACAGCCTCAGCTATGGTGGCCTTACCTTATGGACCCAATTGCTGGCTACCAGTACACTCTGTGGGTTAGTATGATGCTAACAATAATTTATAACCAAACTGAGTTTGAAATGCACTCTATTATTCTTTTCATCTTCATTGAAGTATTTAATAAATATTTCAGAAGAAAGTTGTGAACTTCCTTTTCAAATGTTTGACAAACTCAGGATAGGTGCAAGTATTTAATGCACTAAATGAGAATTTCTTGGAATGTGTATATTGGGAATATAAGATTTTGTCATTTTCTCCTTTCTCCCTTCTATTTTGATGCATTTCTGTAAGGTGCGTGTGACTGGTTCCTTGGATGAGATAGATGAGTACCCGCTTAAAGTTGGTCTACGGGAGGTGGCGTGGAACACCAGTGGGGTGACTATCAACGGCAGGCCCCTCTACATACGAGGCTGTGGCAAGCACGAAGATGCTGATGTGAGATGCACTGATCAGTTTTTTTTTCTAAATCAGTGGTTCCCAAAGTTTTGCAGGCTGGTGCCCCTTGGCTCTCGGGTGAATTTTTAGTGCCCCCCCACAGACACATAATATTCACATAGGGCCCCACACAGACACACAAAAAACTCGGATTTTAAACATTTTCAAAAACTTGCACTAGAAACCGAGGAGAGGTAAAAAAACAGGTAACCTATTGCTGGGAGCCATGTGCTACACATGTTTTGTACAAATCGTCATACATAAGTTCGAACTTCTGACTTTGACTTCGGACTGCTGTCCCCTTTCCACGCTCTTCTTCCTCACTGCCCCCCCTCCCCCAGATCTTTCCATCGCCTCCAGGGGGGCGGTACTGCCCAATTCAGGAACCACTGCTCTAAACTTACTTTATTTAAATTAATTTGATTTACCATAGAGGTTGTGATAAATTTTAGATTTTAAATTTTTGACATCCTTCAAAAATATCCTTAGAACGACCAAATAATGCAGTAAAATTTTCTTTATATTGGTATCTGCCAAATGCACTTAGTGACACTAATGTCTCAAGCAACAGGAACTTTTTAAGAATTAGACACCTTCTGAATGACATGTTAGCTGACCCGGTGAATCCCAATTCATGGAATGAATCCCATTTCTGGTGATGAATTATTTTGAAATATGTAGCTTTGGGAACTATCTTGTTGAATTGCATGCAAAGAAAGGATTTCACATTTTGTAGAGCGCTACAATGATGATGTTTGAACCTATGTTCACATTGCTATTATGCCAGATACGAGGTAAAGGCTACGATGCAGCCCTTGTGGTGAAGGACTTTGCTCTGCTCAAGTGGCTTGGCGCGAACTCCTTCAGGACCTCTCACTATCCCTACGCCGAGGAGATCATGGACCGCGCCGATGCCGAGGGCATCATGGTCATCGATGAGAGCCCTGCTATAGGACTCAGGTGCAGTTTTGTTTAGAGAACTTGTCGGTAAAGAATAATAATTTTTTATAGGTATGTATTTTATCAAGTGTGTAATTCCATTCTTGGAGGTTCTTTTGTAGATCTAGAGCCCTGCTACTGGGCTAAGGTGCAGTTTTATTTTGATCAGTTATCGTTATAGAATATTCAACGTTAAAACGTTATCTCATTTTGATCTATTTACAATTGTCAGATTTAATTCTTAAATATTCTAAAGGTTATGTTGCTTTCCTCTATTTTTAAGTGTTGTTTTTCTAACAAAAAGATTATACCTTAAAAATTAGAATGTTAATGCCAATTCATGTGCATAAATGTAAAGAATACTCGTTTGTACATCAGCAGTTTAATAAAAAACTTTGTTTTAGTGGGTTTGATCCAGCGCTGCGCGACCGCCACATCGCAGTCATGGAGGAGTTCATCATGAGGGACAGGAACCGCCCGTCTGTCATCATGTGGAGCGTCGGCAACGAGCCTAAAAGCTCCCAACTTGCCGCAGACGATTATTTTCGGTGATGAATGTTTCGCCTAAACATATTTATTTACATGTATTCTTAACTAATGAATATCGTCCACTCTTTCTTATCATCATTGATGGTAATATTCTTCTACTACTTCCTTTGGGAATCATTTTGCGTTTGTTCATGTAATTAAGGCAACCATGATACTGAAATAATATGATATCTTAAACCGCTGATAGAAGTAAATTTCATTATTTCTGTTACAATGGAGAGCTGTGGTGAACGCTTCCAAGCTCGCGGATCCTACTCGACCTGTGACAGCTGTGCTGAGCGAGAGCGTCAACTCTGACTTAGCTGTGAGTTATTCTTTTACAAAGTCCCAGGAATATATTTTTCTTCTGAAGATAAAATTCTTGACAAATGAATTTAAATCAAAATACCTACCGTAAAATGGGGTTACTTTGACCGGCGGGGTAACTTTGACCACTTTTCGTTTTTTTAACAAAATCCCCCAAAACTCCAAAACGATTTGACATAGAAAAATTTTGTTAATGGCCATCAAAGGCCTAATACTGAGACTACGTAACACAATAGAAAGATTTAAAAAGTTTGCATATCTAATAGGTTAAAAAATTAATAATGTGACCCACAAAAAAGAGCTATTATTTAAAGCCTGTCAGAGTACCCCCTCCAATTTTTTTTATTTTTTGGTAAAATAACTCCAGGTGTTGATGCATTGTAGTTGAACTCTTCTAGTTACATATGCAATTGACAAATTTTAGGAAAGTGTCATAGTTTGCAAATGGGGGGCGCCGCCCCTCAATGGGGGAACTTTGACCACCTGGTGGCAGCCGTGATGGGGGGTAACATTGACCGGCTTGGAAATTAAGTTAAAATTACCATAGGTACCTATATAACATTTTATGTTTGATACACCTATTAATGTTTTTTTCTTTATGTTTCAGACTCTACAGAATCTTATATATGGTAATTTTAACTTAATTTCCAAACCGGTCAATGTTACCCCGTCACGACTGCCATTAGGTGGTCACATTTCGCCCATTGGGGGGCGCCGCCCCCCATTTGCAAACTATGACACTTTCCTAAAATCTGTCTTTTGCATATGTAACTAGAAGAGTTCTACTACAATACACCACAACCTGGAGTTATTTTACCAAAAAATAAAATTGATTTTACCACCCGGTCAAAGAAACCCCAAGAGCTGGGGTAACAAAGACCATCACTTTTTTTGAAAATACATCAAAATTATGAGAGGCAGGAGCCAGCAATTTATGGTGAGTAAAGCTAGAGTATAGACCTGTATTTTGCATGTTTCAATTTAAGTTTAACTTATCTAGTAAAAAAATGGCATTGTTTCGAAATAAAAAAGTGGTCAAAGTTATCCCATTTTACGGTACTTTCAATGTAGTCTAGGTTTACGGTACTTTCAATGTAGGTCACCATTTCATTATACCATAAGATAAACATTATTGCCTTCATTTTATCTACAATAATCATCATAGCTACTTCGAATTATTTCTAAATTTAAATTTTGTTTAGGATGACACATACTGTTTCGTGTTGCAGGCGCAGTGGCTGGACGTGATCTGGGTGAACCGCTACTTCTCGTGGTACTCAGACACCGGCCACCTGGAGGTGATCCAGCGCCAGACCGTCACCGAGTTCCAGGAATGGCACAGCAAGTTTCAGCGACCCGTTGGCATCTCCGAGTACGGCGCTGGCTCCATACCTGGCCTGCATATGGTGCGCTCTGGTAATCTTGGTATAGGAATTGTGTGATTTGGCAGCCCTGGCTCCATACCTGGCCTGCATATGGTGCGCATTGGCGATCTTAGTACAGGAACTGTGTGATTTGGCGGCCCTGGCTACATACATGGCCTGCATATGGTGCGCATTGGCGATCTTAGTACAGGAACTGTGTGATTTGGCAGCCCTGGCTCCATACCTGGCCTGCATATGGTGCGCATTGGCGATCTTAGTGAGAGAATTGAGTGAATTACATCTATGGTGTGAAATGAAAATCTTGATTGCATTGAATGAACTTCCCCGAGGATGCGTATGTGATACTAAAAGGCACTTCACCCACTGAATAAAAAAGTTTTAAATTACATTCTAGTGTTTGCGGAAATGAAGACATTGATTGTACACAAGTGCGTTCAATTGCATTCCATTAGATGTAGGTTAGTTTGTGAAATGGTACATTTGAATTTAGTATTTAAGTTGTGAAATAAAAAATAAACGAATTCAAACTTATTATGAAGAATAAAAGGTAACATCGTTTGGGATGAAGCATTTTTCTTTGGTTCATGTTATCCTTGCATAATGAATGAATGCTGGATTTCCATGGCTGCGCTCCAAAGGCACTATACAGAATATTGACCACCACTGCAGGGTCCGTCGTTCACGTGGAGTGAAGAATATCAGACTGAGCTTCTCCTCAACAACTTTAAGGCCTTCGATGACTTACGTGACCAGGGCTTCTTCATGGGAGAAATGATATGGAATTTCGCGGATTTTCTTACGCCTCAGGGTGAGCCTTAATTTAAAAATAACTCGCAATTCGTTTATTATTTTGATTTATTCGAATCAATTTTTTAGCGTTCCGTGTTTATCTGGCTGTTGTTCACGTCCCCGAAGAGTTCAAATCACTTTGAATTACAGTATGTAAGCTCAGATTGGCTCTAAATTTAACGCTGACTTTAATCTATATTTCCGGGCCTCAAGAATACAATCGGCCAGCGATGTGCATGAAGGGTCTCTTTACTCGGACACGCCAGCCCAAGATGGCGGCGCAGGTGACCCGCGCTCGGTACCACGACCTCGCCGAGTGGGACAACTCGTGCGAGCGCCGGCAGGGCTCCACGCCCGACGAGGATGACAGTACTAGTGAAGAGCTCAATGGTATCTTCGCCATCCCGGCCAAAGATGCTCGTCTCAGAGCAAAGGAAGAAGAGTCGTTCAGCGAGTTTGACTACGACGATTTTGAGGCAAAAAGAAAAGAGGGTGAGGTGCTCGATACTCGCCGGGGGATTGTAGAGAGATCGAGTGAGTTTCTTGTTCAGTCCCAAGCTCAGTGTCTCTCGGACGCCGCGGCCTCCAGGCAGACCAGAGTCCAAGCATTTGCTCATGTCTTTGGTTTCGGGCTTGCTTGATCCTCAGTTCGTTGTAAAGCATACGTGAAATACACTGCTTCGACTGCTCTCAGAGAAATGGTTTAGACTTGTCCAAATATCGGTGCACTTTTTGCACTCCTGTGTGTCATCCTGACCCTGTTGGGCCGGGCTTATTAGCGCTACTTCCGCTCTCTGCCCTCTCTGTTGCTAAAAAATGCGTCACTATTTGGGCAATGTTACACATTTGTTCTACTGAATGCGCGGGCATTTATTTATCAAGCTCACGTCCATACGTCTCAAGTTACTGTAATTCATGTGTGGTATCTATTTTATTTGATTTGTGGTTTGAATTTATCTGTGAGTTCTTTAGTTGTGTGATATTCAGGCAGCTAAGTGCTGGAATTGCATTGGTTATTCCATTCACCCTGTAATGCTCAATCTCTCTTTGTTGAACAAGTCTGCAAGTTTGTTTAAAGCAACGCTAACATTTGATTTGTTTAGGTTGCGGTACGAGTAATTCACAGCCACTTCCTGGTAAGGTAATAAGCTACCTATTATCTAGCACCACTAGTATGAGGTTATTGTGCTGTTAACTCGCCACAAGATCCAATGAAGGGAACAAGTTACTTGTTAACATCCACCACAAAAATTTTATGGTTCAGGTAATTCACAAAAAAATCCCCTATTAAGGGAATAAGTTACCTGTTCACTAGTCCTGTACTCAAGCCAAAGCTACAAGTCCGATGAGACGCTGCCATTTCTGTTACCGCACGCACCTGTGCTCACGCTTTGCTCTAAAGATTGTGTTGGGGTTTTTTTATTTTATTTAATGTGACGTTGTTATTTATTGTTCTCTTTCATTTGTGGAGTTTTATGCTAATGTTTGTGATATATAGAGTAGGCATAGGCATATTATAGTTAATAAACAGTAACGGTAACAGTACGAGTATAAATATATATTTTTTAACTAAGACGGCTCAAAGCTTTGTCCCAATTAGCCGTGAGAACTGAGACCACATCGAATTTGCAGCGGCAATACGGGAGACGAGGCGTCAAGTCGGTGGGAATTGGAGCTCCAAGAAATTCTTATGTATTTTTTATATATGGTATTTATTCATTTTCAACATGGCATTAGCATACATTAGTTGTCATAACAGTTTATCTCCAATGTCAAAATTTTTTTGTTATATTTGTCTCTTTTTGCTCCTTAGACAATTTCCTGGCATCCATTTGCTTCTTGGCAGCTTTCAGACTGATTTACATTTTAAATACGCGCATGCGGTGCCGTTTATAGAAGAATCGCGCAAAATTAAAATCCATGAGCTATACGTTGTACCGACTGCACAGAGTAAAACTGAAACTTCCTAAAAGGCCTAGCCAATCCTACTGACGACTTTTGCAACGTTGTGCTGGCAGCCAAATGTCGCCAAATCTGTCGAATTGAACACTAATATTCAAGGGTGCGACTTGATGATCTCTAATTCGTACGTACAAAATATCTCGTCTTGCCTCAACTCGTTATGGCAAGTCTTGCACCGACGTATTGTGTCTAACATCGTTATGTAACGTCTCTTTTAATATGTCTTATAACGTTTCATTTTATCCAGGATGTAATTATTGTCCGAATATATAACTTTATTCGTTGTCATAATTCCTCGTTATTTTTGTTCGGGAAATTTCTCGTCTATAAGTTTCAGCTGCAATTATCTACTCGGTAAATGTTGATTTGCCAATTACATGATTGAATAAATCTATATTTTTCTGCTTAAAGGATTCTATTCATTTAAATTTCCTTCGAAAGATGTTCGCTCAGGGATGTCAAAGAATAGTCGATGCAGAAAAAATTTTATTTGCAGTTATTCAAAAGTCGTTTCCTTGCACTCTGGAGGAGACAGCATCTGCAGTCGTATTCTATATTATTCCTATTGTTCATCTCGTATGTACATTTTTAGCTCTGAACCGCCAATTCAATGATTGACGTTTCATGCACTTTGAACGACCGATTGTATAGTTTCTAGAGAATTTATTCGGATTCATGCTGTATCATTTTCAATTCTCAATAGACCATTTTAAGTTTTCTTGCATTAAAAAAAGGTACAGATGAGCATAATTTATTTTCAGGCCTTTTTCTGATTTTTGCGGTTCGCGACGCTGCTGATGGAGAGCCGTCCCCGAGCATTGTCGTATTACTCTTCTGGTGCCAGTAGTAAATTTTCGATGGGAAAAAGTGTAATATTACATAACTAACTAACGGAACGTAATATTACATCCGGATTATATAAATATATATACGACTCAGTCAACGCCGATGCCTTTCTTTATATTGAGCAGAGCATATATCTCACTTCGCAGATGGGTAGTTAGCAGTTCTAAGGTTATTCAGCGCTTTCTTTTCTAATTATTTCAATGAATTGTGATTAATTAGCCTACTTATAGGTTCTCTTTAATCTTAATCTTTTAATCTTTAATTTTGTTTTTAAAGCCGTTGTCATCAACTGATTTCCGACCCCTAACACGTTCCATAACTAGTTTAATGGAGTTTTCTTAACTGCACGAACGACGTTACGTTGAGTCGGCAGTCTTGGGGACATCGTTGCGGCTCACGACCGACATGTAGGCAGGCACGGGCGCCGTGGGCATCAACATGTACTCATGGCCGCGGTGCCTGCAATACATATTTGTTTTGTAAACTAAGTGCAAACGCATGAAATTTGAAGGAAGTTCAATAACTTGGATTCTCCAAAAGCACCTGATGCGATGTAAATTATTTTAGATTATGATTAAAATCACAAGGTTGGGCCATTCTTATCTCTTGTCTAATCTGCAAGGTGGTTTGTCAGCATTCGTTTTTGTGTAGTGACAACCTAAAATGGGTTGATGCACACATTTGCGGGGAAATTTCAGTAAATTCCGCAGATGAGAGATTGTCTAAGAATTACAAGCTCGAATAAAGTCTCGGTACGTCTGAATAAATCAAATGTACCGAGAATCTGATTTGGGAGCTCCAACCATAACCATGCTGATGTACCACACTCGTCGGCCATCATGGTCCGTCCACTAGCGACACCGAGAAATGAACTGAGCTTCGGAAGGCTCAAGCCTATGGGTTTGAGCCCCAAACTCCTGTCATTTCGATGCCTGCCACTACCCTTGCGCTACAGTGGCTCCGTTGCTAACGGAACGAGAAAATAATTTTGCATGGAAAACTTTTGAACTTCTTACCGCTTACCTTTGAGCTGATATCCTCTGCGTGATGACCACCCCGACCGCCAATATTATGAAGAAGGTGAATATGACGACATCATACAGCTTAGCGTAATGGTCAAGCTTGGCGATGGCCATCTGCATGCGGTCGCTTAAGCCTTCCTCGTATCGGCCTGGAGTCCCAGAAAGGCTGCTGTTGAGTCCAGTTCTGTTCCATGCTTCTTCAGGCAGCCACATTTCGTAACTAAGCTTATGGGTAGTTTAGTTAGCAGCTTCAAATGAAAACGATAATCAAACCCTATTTTATTTTCTGGTTTAAGTTTTGCCGGTGTACGCTCTATTATTGCAAAATCATCTAATGTATCGAACACGTGTTCGCCATTTAGTTTCAGAATTGATTGAGAACAAATTGAAAAATTTAACCAAATTTTGAAAAATTGCTGCCTGAAATTTTACCGTTACCTTTAAAAATGTGAGGAGAGAAGTTATTCTCGGTCAGTGGTGAGAGAGAGGAAATCGCTGTAGTAGAAGCTTTAAGTTTTTAATCCTACAGTTATGATTGTCGATTGGCGATAAATTGTTTGAATCAGTAACTAAAACAGGTTTTGAAAAAATTTATGAGTAAAACTTTATGTTGAGAAATTTTTCAAACTTTGTTTTAAACGCGCTAAAATATTTATCCTATGATTTTGCATAAAATTATCGTTAGTTAATTCAAATGTAATTAATCGCATTGACGCTGAAAGCTGTATTCAATATGAGTTCCATCCGAGGCTATTTAGATCTTGTTTTATTTTCTGAAGACTGTACTTCAGTTTTTGCAGAGGTGCAAGAACTCGCTTCGTAGAACACTTCATCGTCAGTGAAGTTTTCAGCATCGGCGTCAATTGATTTCTTAGAATCAGAGACAGTTTTCTTCAAGAATGGATTGTTCGAAGACACCTGCCTTTTTGGAACCGCACCTTGAGATATGTCGGGAGTTGTAGAAGACTCTGTCGTCGAGGCTTGGGTTCTCAGGTGTTCGTTTGCAGATTGGTAGGTAGGAGGATCCTCGTTTTGAACTGTTGACTGGTAACTTGGAGGCTTATCTTGTGCAGGATATATGTTGTAGTTAATGTTGTTTGATGATGAAGGCTTTTGATTTCTAGGGTACAGGTGGAAGTCAGTACCGGGATGGGATCGAGTGTCAACAATGGTCATGTAGCTGGGCACGGCGCTGGTCTGCACCAATACAAACTCTTCGTGAGGAATTCTGTAATGAAAAAATCAGAGTTCAAGGAAAAAACTCAGTCAACCAAGTAAATCGCTTGACTTTGTCCTTAAACATAAAATCAACTCATTTGGTTTTTAGGGAAAGCTACATACTTATGGTATTATATCGAGTGTCAGTTTCACTCTTTTTGACCATCATTGTTATAAGTTTTTTTCAGGCATTTCTTTTAAATCAATTCAGATGAAAATATATGATGGTTGAGGCTTTACTATATTTATTGTCTTTTCGTAAATAAAATCCTCTTATTACCTGAGGCTTCTCTTGCACTGTGTGATGGATGCGATGATCAGTATGAAGAAAATGAAGAAGAGAAGACTCACGACGAACAGACCAGTGTGGATGCTAGCCTTACTGTAGGGAAGAATGCTGGTTTCTTGCAATTCCGTTATAATGAATGTATCAATACTGCCTTCGGGCGGAATGGGCGTTGTGTCATGAACGGATGAAATATTGAAGATCTCCATAGATTATTGGTTGAGGCTACAAGACAGCTCGGGGGGACGTTCTATGTGATGGCACAATTAGAAATTCACATTCTGAAGGAACTGATCCCAAGCTCTTTTCTCAAAGCCGAGATCTCGAGTCCATTAAACAACTTTAAAAGAGAATCTCAAATTATCCACAGTTAATATGTATCGCTGTGAAGCTTTTTCGTGGTTCCGACAACCAGCGTGACTACGATTTTTTTTAACGATTTGTTTGTTTGCCCTCAGCAAGCTCGAAGATATATTTGTCAGAAAGACAAGTTCTTGGAAAACATTACGCAAGCAGGTTTTGTTTCCTGTTAAACGTTTGAAAAAACGTGTTATCCTGATCCAAAGCTCAACCGTTCAAAGAGTTTCACAAAGATTGTGCACGTACAGCAGTTGGTATTGCAAGTTAAACTACTTGCTTTATTGTAAATGAAGTAGAAGAAGAAAACACGTAGTAGAAGATGCGCTGAATATTTTTCGCAGTAGAAGAAAACACGAAAATATTCAGCGCATTACCCGCAATGAAATTTCAAACGATAGGTTTTTCTATCCTTATTAATGCAAGAACCTTGTTACTCTGGTCTGGTATCAGATAACATCTTCGATCTAAGTAATCGATCATACAACTTTTTCTCAACGTCCATCTTCATTCGCTCTGGCTCATTATACTACCAAAAGTGTCTCAACCATGAATCGCGAAGCTAATTCTCCATAATATTCCCACTATATATACCAGTTAAGTGTCGGTTATTGCTACACTTCTGAGTGTGAAAGTGTCAAAAACATTGAATTAGTTGAAAAAACACCTGTCATTTTCCCTTGTATCCAACCAGATTGCGCCTGTAGCATAACTTTTAGTGCAGCGAGCATTTCCAAGAACTGGCACGCATCTTTCAAGGAAACGCCGCTTCCTCATCGGCCTCGGGAGCTGGTGTAATGAATGAGACTACACGTCAACCTGAGCTCACTATCGACCCTCATTTTCAGACATGGATTTCGCATCTCCAGACGCACATTAATTTCGCTTCTTCAGACATATTTCGGTTTCGCTTCTCTAGACATACATTTCAATTCATTATTCTCCTTATTGGATTAGCTCTTTTTACAATAAAATTGGTTAACGATTAGAATGATTTTAGAAATACTAAACAGCTCTAAGGAGCGCAATATATATTTACTACTGACGAAGACTGCTGGTTGAGTCATCATAAATTGCATTTGATACTCATAACTGATGGACTCCAGTGAAATTGAAAGTGCCGAAACTCTAATATATTAATTTTTCGAACACTAAAGAAGCTTCTAATGAAAGCAAATGACTATAAACCAATTCCTTATTACCACATTTCCCTTCGGAATCCCTTCTAATACTTCATTCTCTATTGGCTTGCAAATCGATTTAAACAGATGTGCATAATGAAATTGTGCTGGAACAAGCAACGACCGAATTCATAGAACGGCGAATTATAAAGACTCGCGTATTAATTGTTCAGTATTAATTCATATAGTTAATTATTTGAGTATTATTGTTATAAATGATTCAACGATTCACAGCAGGGGCTCCAGAAACAATACGCACCAGACCAAACGCCACGAAGTACTGCTGCCGCAGCACCGAAATCAGAAGCTGCAGCGCACGTACCTGGTAAATATCATTGGTGATCGACATTACTTCATGTGCACTGTTCGCATGTTATTATATTATTATTTGAAACAATTCATACGTACAAAGCGAGAGCTCAACGATCATGATAATGAGTTTATGCTGTATAAATTAAGAGAGTGAACTTTGTCAAATGATTTTTAAAACAGTCTATTATTGCTGAAAATCGTAATGAATGATTATTGAAACGGGATACGCACTGTGAAAATGAAATGCTAAATTTTATTAAATAAAACAATACCACGTAAGCAGCTCATGCCACGCTAACCCATTTCATCACGTAAATGGTATAAAGTTGTCCAGTTATCTCTCTAGAAACTCCATGAGAGAAGAGGACACATGTGTGATTTTTAATTCGCTATGAGCAATATTATTGACGCGGTCCACCCAGCCCAGGTGGTGGCACACTTGTGTAAAGTCAGTTCAGCTGTTGGTCAGGCTTCAGCCCCGGACTGCAGTTCCTGCCTGCTACTTGCCTCGAACAATGAACGAAATGCTTCTTCATGAAATGAAAGCTATAACATTGTTACACTTCCGAAGTTCCGAGTGAAGATGATCATTTCCTTGCGAAAAAACTTAGATGCGAAACTGGTTGAAACGATTAGCTTTTCATAGATTTTCTTGATAATTAAGTGAGGAACCGGATTATGTTCAATTTTGATGAACATTTAATTCAGACAATGATCAGTAGTACACTCGATTGCCTGATATATTATAATATATTAACTATTTTAATATGGCCAAAAGTAATTATACATAGCTGTAAATATTGCATATGTTTATATTCATGTATGTATGCATTTCAACCAATTGCTAAAAAGTAAAAAAAATTGAATTGAACAAACTGGGAATCATAGAATTATACACTCCTCTTTGTGAACTTTAGCTTCACGATTTACTTATCACAGAATTCATTACAGAAACGTAATAGTAAAAAAAAGACAAACAATGCAGTGTTCACTCCACGTTTATGCCCGATGACTAATAAAATCAAGTAATAGTGAGTGACCCTGATAAAGTTTCAGATTTTCACTCACGCTATTTGGACAATTGACATAATGACGCTAAATTTAAGTTTGACCACAAGTGATCAAGCACAAGATCGCCTTTAAAACGCGAGGTTTACGTACCTTAATAGGAAATGTACAACTGTCTACCAAATGCTACAATTTGTTTTCCGGTTTTCAAACAAAGGCGAATCATACAGATGCATCCTCATACGTCAAAAATAATCATACGTGATTTTCTATCGTAAAATTGAATGAAAATATTCGAAACAAAACATGGAAGATAACAAATTTTCACAACCAAACGGATTTGGGATGAAATCTTTATCAAACATTTCTTCACTTCAATTTGAGCAGGCCTCATGTGAATGTCCGAAATGGATTGTTGTCTCAATTTTGTCGCATTTGATCATGTTAATTGAGTCACAAATGGAAAAAAATATTAGCCTTCATTTGTAAAAAAGGAGTCATTTTCAGTTATGATCACGCCTGAGCGATAACAACTCGTAAAATGTGAGAATGTAATCCATATAGGATTTGAGTAGACTTTTGAATCTCATTGTGCTCTAATGAGCAAACAACAGCCAAATTCCGAGTACAACTTAAAAACCAAAATCACCGAAAAAATCTTCAATAAAAAGTTTACCTTATTTTTCTACGTAGTATACAATTCAATTATATGTCCTACTTCAACAGTTTGAAGGAAAATGAGGAACTTACCTACAAATTATTAGTACAATACAATACAATAGCAATAAAATTGACCAATAGCAGTTGGCTTACTTGCACAGCCGTTCGGTGATGTCAGCGCTTGTTTTAGGATAATGTAATTTAATTTAGTACATGTATTTATTATTCGAATGCAATTTCACGAATATAAATACAGGCATTTATTATTCGAATGTAATTTCACAAATATAAGCCTAAAAAAGACTATTTTTACTTTCAAGGCTCTACTTGTTCCCGGATGTGTTGGGAAAAATAATTTTGTGGCAAGCCAACACATACAAATATTGATATCAACTTTCATCCGCTAATAGTAAATCACATCAATCGAAACCTTATAAAAACAGCTCCTAGAAGCTGCGGTTAAACCATCTTGGAAAAACCAATTAAAGCTTCGATTTTTACCTTAATTGTGCCAATATTAGACGATTAGAATCAGATTCGATTTATTTACACAAGAAACTAGTTACAAATGAATAATTGTCCACGCAGCAATATGCTGATACTACGAAAAACCATAATGATGAACAAGTAGGGCAGTAGATAGGCAGTGTATATTACAACGATTGAAAATCGTGTTGACTAGAAAACACAACTCAGAAAACTTAACCCCGGAATTAACTCAAACCTAACGACACTCGAAGATCATGCAAACCAATTTTCAGCCTGTGGAATTCGCACAGAATAAAAAAGGAGGGAATTTCAAAACTTTTACGCGACAAGAGCGAGAAAAAGTTACTTCCACAAGAAAATTTGTACGTGAATTCACCAGTCGTGGGTAGATGTAGCCAAATTTATCTATAGCACGGAAGTTGCCTGCTTAATTTCCTTTAAAAAAGAACGATATTGCAAATTTAGAGACAAAATGACCTCATATTAACCAACATTAGAGTAAGTGTGTTGAATGATGAATCGCATAACAAATCAAGGTTTTGAAGAGCCAGTAGGTCTCATCCTTCAGTAGTAGCAGCCATCAAGTTTAACTCGCTTATGTATCATTCTGAAGCTGCAGCAAGCTTTCCATGCTCATCGTATCTGTTCATAGAAATGAGCAGTGTATTGAAATCATGCATTTTCATCTCATATTCATAGAAATATAAATAACTCGCAAGCCTTTTGCATCATGATAAGTTAGAAAATATTAAGACAGGAATATTTGCTTTATTGCGACACGAATCAATCACATACATCACTTAATTTGGCCGCGCGTATAGCAATTAATAAAAATGATAATCATAGTTTATTTGGCACATTATATGCTCAATGTGTGAAATCTAAGTCAACTAGACACTCACCTTTAAAAACTCCAGTATTTCTGAGACATCGGAGATCTTAGTAGATTTTCAAGGAACGTATCGTCTCTGAAAAGTCGATTAAATGAACCATGAATAAATTCCAATAAATGAAAACTGACTTGTTGACTAATGCACATTTCGGCTCGTCTATCATGCTCAGTGAACCGAGTTAAGTTAATTGAATCTGAGTCCCAGTAAAAAATTCCTGGATTTAGAGTATCGTGTTGATGCTCGTGTTTAAAACACTAGTATAAGTTAATATTTAAGTAGATTTATGCCACCATCTAAAATTATGCAAATGAACTACAAAAGACTTAGGAAAAATCATATAATAACACATATAATCATGAAATATGCGTTTAAAAGAACATTTAATGAAGAAGTGAAAGCTAATCAATTTTTCAATTCTGACCGTGCTGCCAAGTCAGTCAATTATTCATTCAATAAATAGTGTTTGTATTAATAATGACTTCTTATTATGCTGTACTGAGGGAACGAATTTCACGACAATGAACTCACTCTAAAAGAAGATCCAAAGCTGTCCTGGGTTCCGAAGGAAGATCGAGCTGATATGGAATCATACGGTGAACGATACTCCAATGATGTAATCCTTGTGCTACTTCCAAAACTGAAACAGAAAGAGAAGTCATACTAAGAGCCCTTGCATTGTTAAATTAAGTTATACTATCTCAGTCACCCATTTGCAAGCTTTTAACTAATCATCAGAGCTGGGAAGCGCTACTTGGAAATGTAGCGGCGCTACCGCTACCGCTACATGCTCTAAATGTAACGGGCGCTACCGCTACCGCTACACCCACTAGATTGTAACGGGCGCTACCGCTACCGCTACAGTAAAATGTAGCGCGCTACATTAGCCGCTACAATGGCCAAAATTATTGGAAATCTCTAAATATTTATTGTTCTGCTATTGGGATTTACTCATTAACATTTAATGACAATAAAACATTTTTAAAACATATCAATGCAACTTTATTGCAATTAACCTAACCGAACTAGTATGGGTTACCCCAGGGTTAGATACAGTAAATAGAAGTTACAGTTATTTTTATGTTTTACCTTCCCTACATGGATGTGAACTTTAATCTACCAATCTAAGAAATTATCCACATATACATATAAAAATCAGTCTTTTTTTGTATATATATGTGGATTATTTTTGAGATTGGTAGATTAAAGTAGACATCCATGTAGGGAAGGTGAAACATAAAAATAACTGTGAGCAAACTGAAAGATGAAAAAAACCTGTAAGTGGTAACTGGTAACAACTTAACAAGTAACAACTAACATGTTGACACTAGTAACAGGCTGAGGTTGACAACATTACACCGAAATCTTTCGTACAGTTTTATTCTGTAATTTATATTATGTATGTATCATGCTGGTTTTTAAATAATATTTAATACTATTAAAGGGACCGGCTACCTAAAAATGGGAAATTTTGGCTTTACCGTTTTCTTGACTCATTTTGTAGCTGCTGAAAAGGCGCGTCTAACGCAGTTCACCGCATGTCTGTGCTTGCTATAATTTTTGCGTAAGACAATTTTAAAAATATATATATGAACATTTTTTAACAATATGTACAAAGATTTATTTGAATTAAATCTGTATATATAGATCATTACTCTCGTTAATTACAAAGTGTTTGCACTCGTTTGAAAGCTACAAACGAGACGCGTTTAACAAAGCTACTACCATAGATGTACATCATTACATGCAATACTTTTTTGTGTAATGCAGTCTTGAACTTTTATAAAATGATCATTTTATATCATTATTTACAAATAAATGGTATTTATATGTCATTATTTAGGATAATTGCAAAGTGTTTGCACTCGTTTGAAAGCTACAAACAAGACGCGTTTAACAAAGCTACTACCATGGATGTTCATGCAATAGTTTTTGCGTAATGCAGTTGTAAAGTTATGTAAAATGAATATTTTATATATATATTTATATATAAAAAGTCCCATTTATAGCCAATTACTCACATTAAATTGAACATAAATAGGTCTAAAGACGCGTGATGGTACCTTGAATGCAAATAATTGGCAATGGGAAAGCTTGGGCTACAATATCAAGACTTTTTGGGCATATTCTTCTGTTTTCAATGAATTTTACTTTATTTGGCTCCCATGAACAATTTAAAAATCCAAAAAACGCCATCTTAAAAAAATTATAACTCCAACAGTTTTCAAGCTACGGCAATGAGAGACATACCATTCGATTTGTAAAAACAATACCTAGCGACTCTAGAAGCCTTTTTTTAATATGTGCATGGTTTGACTTATACATGGGAGGGGGAGGAAGGTGGGGGGTAAAAATGTAAAAAAATGGGAAGAACGCGAAAAAAACGATGAGGAAAATAAAAAATCGGGGCTCTACAGTCGCTAGATATTGTTGTTACAAATCGAATGATATGTGTCTCGACATTGTGATTTGCATGTGATTTGCAAAAGTTATAAACTTTTTTAGAGTACCCCTTATTTGCCGTTTTCTATTAATTCCACGTTTTCTTTCATTTAATAAAATTTACATGAACAAAAAGGTATCAGATTTCTGTTTTACATATGTGTACCAAGTTTCAAAATGATCCGTCTGTAAACAAAAAAGTTTTGTTGGAGGGTAGCCGATCCCCTTGAGTAAAATCTAAAGGCTTTATCTATAAATGTAGCGGCAGCGCTGTAGCGGCAAAACCTCGTATCGCTACTTAAATATGTAGCGGGCGCTACCGCTACCTCTACATTGCCTTAAATGTAGAGCCGCTACCGCTACCGCTACTGAAAATGTAGCGGACGCTAGTAGCGGCCGCTACATGTAGCGCGCTACTGCCCACCTCTGCTAATCATAATAATGAATTTTGACTAATGAACGAGGAAACAACCACCACTATTTCAAAATTTTAATATTAGATATCAAAATAAGTAGCACCTTTTTTGCAAAAGAGATTTTGTTTGTATCTAAGCGCTTGTACCTTGGTGCGTAAAGAGAGCTGCGAGCCATGCTGGAACTGCGGTAACGACTGCTCCCTGTAAACAAAGATGTGCAAAACGTTGAAATAAAACGTTGAAATAAATATAACATTCAAATAAAACCCAGGAGTAGAAATCTATATTAATTAAAATCGTATAATCACCTGTGTGACATAGGTGACTTGTATCTGAAAAATTTTCTACGCGAGTAATCCAGCAACGTGTAACGTGACTTTAAACCTGACGACGGTTAATTAATAATTAACGACTGCCCAAAACTTGAAATAACAAGAACAAATATTGAAGTAATAGCGAAAAAAATGTGTTTTCATAACACACAGGGTAAAACATGAAACGTGTATATCTTCTTGTGGAGAAGGGCAATTCGGCACCAGCTTCATATTCTCAAGAAATACGAAATATGCCTTTACACGCTAGTAAACTTTAGGGCCAGATCTGTTCTCGTGCAGAAAGGCTTCACATAAAGAACAAATGCATGCAAAGCTCGCAGACGATGATCACCGAACTCTCATAGAACGTAAAACGTAATACGGAACTTTGCACGACGAAGGGAAGTTAATCGAAATCAAATTGAGTACCGAGCATCGGTGCCCTCGAAGAAGCATCTGTCTTATCAAGCCAAGATCTTAGATCTGCGACGAAACTTGGTCTTAGAATTTCTGCATCGGCATTTTCTGGTTTCGTTTCACGTTCTGTGAATAAGAAAACGAATAAGATTCGATTTCTTCATTAAATCTGGACATTTTTAAGGAGTAATTTACGAAGAAAAATAAACGAATCAATTCGAGGTAGAATAATATGTATCTATTAATTGAAGATTTATCTAAAAAATCCATGGGTACTTTAACAAGGTGTGGGATTCCACCCAGCTTTAGAACAGAAAAGTGATGATTAAATTCAGTAGGTAATGATTTCTTGACTGGCTCAAATGTCATTATAGAAGTGTAACAGAATTTAACACCAATGCTACTTTTTATAGTATCACGGCAGCTTCTCGGAATTTGCAAAAAAATCTAAGAGAAACTAGTATGTTCAGTGAGAAACGCGCATTCGCAGAAACTAGTGAGAAACGTCGCATTCAGATGGTTATTTATATTTTAAATTTTAACACTGAATTAGATTACAGCGTTTCAACATCATACCGTATAAAAGGGCTTTGGCACTCGTCAGTTTTGCTTTGACGTCCTCTTGGACCATGGAAACGTGATCCGACCAGCCGCGGCTCGAGAACTTGCCACCAATGAGCGAACTTCCCCCGAAGGACGAGCTGGACGAGCCAAACGACGTAGATTCCCCACGTGGGCTAAAGAGCATCTCTCTGGATGTCCATCTTCTTCCCATGGAAGACAGGGTGGACGGACGCGAAGTTTCTTTGATGCTGTGGGTGCGCATGAGGCTGCTCTCGCGGCGGGTGTCGAAACATCGTTCGTCCAGCACCGATTGTGCTCTGTCAAAATGGGAAACATCGCCGGTGAACTGATGATAAAGTTTACTTCCACAGTTTTTTTATAGAGCAACAAACATTAATTTCAGCTACTTTAAATATTATAGGAATTCAAATGGAAACGAAATTTATAGGCACATGCAAAATAAGCGTGAAATAGATCGCAAATCTACCGTTCATATCTTCTAGCACGATGGGGAGAGAACGTCGAACATTCGTCGGCGCCAGAAAAAGGTGCTTCACGCTCACTATCCTCGGCGGCGGGGGTGGCGTTGTGTGGCACAAGAGCCCGCTCGCCACGAAATAACTTTTCTTCCTCTTTACCTGAACTTTCCTGACATTCTTTCTAGAAACGAAAGCATACTAAATTAGTCAAACTGATCTAATATATATGAAAAAATATTCGCAATGAAATGAGACTTAATCACTAGAAAATAATTCTTTTCCTGTAAAAGAAAGAAAAATAAACAAGACTCGAGATTAAAATCAATTCAAATACGGTCTTAAATGTTGCGTACCTGATGGGATTGAAAATTTGTTATTTTTACTTCTTTTCGACAGCATTCACAAAATTTTGTAGAGGTGCTTTCACTAGTAGTTTGAACATCCATCATCGGCTTGCTGTCCAACCGCATGTAGGGCATATTTGATGTATTGTCTACCTTCTTGCATGAATTAGAGGAATCATAACATTGGTCGTTGCTCGAAATTGAGGTAGACTGTGCGTGACTCTGACTAGGGGATTGCGAAGGTGGTTGAGGAGCTCTGTACTTCTTTTGTTTCTTGATGAAGACTTGAGGCCTAGACTTTGGTGGATTAGTACTGCTGCTGCTGCTCGTGTTATTTTCTGTCTTACTTTGCTCTGGATCTGTTGCTACGCTTTCGTGACGAGGAGGTAACGGAGGGAGTTGAGAGGCGGAGTGACTGTTCACAACAGGATTCATGTCGGAGGGCTCATCTCCTGTATCTTCCAGGGGGGCTGTATTTGACCTGCTGTATTTGAATCGATCTTTTGCCCCAGACATTGTTCGCCAAGAAACAATGGCAGACGATAAGAGTTTTCCTCTGCGTGGTCTTACAAAGGGAGTATCGTCATCCTCAAAATCTGCCTCGATATCAGTGGGCGTATCTACAACGGCCGGGATGGGGGAAGCTGAGCTGCTGCTGCTTGGTGTACTTGAGACTGAGCGGGTACTGCTTGCCATGCTGCTAATACCGCTACTGCAGCTGTTACTGTGAGGTGGACAGGGGCTTACACTCGTCGGGCGAGAATCGCAGGACGAATCAGTTAATTCATGCGAACTTGGTTGTGGTGAGCACCGAATGCGGCTTGTGCTTGTCGTGGACGTAGAATGAGCTGGAGGATGAGGCGGTCGCGGAGGAGGACTGGTTGGAGGTGTGCGATGAGCATCAGCAGTAACAATGCGAGAGTGTTCAGCTCTCTTGGAAGATCCTAGGGGTAAATTTGGTGGAACCTTCCTGCGACTGGCTGGTGAAACAGGTGACTCTAAGTTTGTGCTAGAATTTGAAGCTGTTGTTAAGGTGCGAGATGAACCTGTAGGTGAAGTTACACTACGAGTAGGTGAATTCAGCATTGGAGGAGTTGCCAAAGAATCTCGACGTGTTCTTGGCATCTGAGTCTCGTTGAGATCACATGAGGTTTGGTGCCGCATGAGGTCGCGCTCTGAGAACATCTCTCCACAGAACTCGCAAGGCAGCATAATAGGTGCAACTCTTCGTTCCTCGGGCTGCCAAATAGTGATGGAGAGTATTTTTGTAAAAAGTTTTTAAGAGATCGGTAAACAGGCCAAAGTCAATGGTTGGAAGTTGCATATATACAGAGATTCTTAATGCTCATCGAACATTTTAAAACATTTTTCCTAAATACTTTATTTCAGCTTTTTAGTTTAATTAACCTAGTATAAAGTTATACTCACAGCATCTTCTTTAAAAGAAACTCTCTTCTTGAGGCCTGTGGAGCTTTTTGGGCGAGCCCCCATGCCTCGGCTGCTACTCAGAGATACGCCTGAACTACCACCGCCTGAGCCGCTGGTATTAGAGTCACTCGAAGACTTGGTCAAGCTTGGTGACCTGCTGGAGGCTGACAAAGAAGAAGAAGACGAGTAGGACGAGCTCGACGAACCACAGGACTGAGAGGGCGTGGTTCTCGGTGAGGCAGGAGGACGATTCTGAGAGTCACGTCGGTTCATGGCCCTGTCGGTTCCTTTGTCCTGTTCATCGTCACTCGAGTCTGACGAGTCCGATGACCGCATCGTGCGTTGCGTCACCGCCGCAATCTGATTATTAAAATCTACCTATTAATTAGCGGCAGAATTTAAATGTCCAAGATTTCATTGGAGTCCTACGAGAATGAAGTCAGTTTAGAATTGTGTAGTCATCTCTAAGTTTTATCATCACTTTTCGTACTGGTAAATTAACATCAAATGTATTTTTCTTAAGCCTATTGTAGTATTCTGGTTATTTATTTTTCTTGAAATCAATAAATAAATAATTTTCGGCGAATAATTGACAGATTTACTTCGAATAATGACTTTGAGGTTTGAGCCCCCATAAAGACCACTTAACTGTTGCAAACCTTCCTATTTATCATCTGACTGGTTTCATGTGAAAAAACATCGGTTGCAGTTGAACCGCTCTAAGAAATCTATGTAGCAATTGTTCAAAAATACGATCAGGACTGTTCTTTTACATAACAATATTCGTTGACTGACACTTAAGCGACGTACCGCTCGCTCAGGCATGCTTTGAGATCGACCGACGATGGCCCTGTGTTTCTTATTGAACTCCGCGGCCGGGATGTCCTCGTCCGCCTGGGCCAGTTGAAACGCAAGCCATCGGTCATATTGCTCTTGTGTCGCATTTACGGGTGGTTCTCGGCGACCTGCAAGTAGCCAGAATAATTATTAATGTGTTAGTGCACATATGCGAGCACATAAACAAATTATTTTTATGTATAAATATGTCATAATATGCAGAAGTATTTTTATTACTGACAGGACTAATTATTTTAGATGGAATTTTTCACGAAGAGCAATGGTGCAAAAAATATTTTATGTTTTTAAGTAACCAATAAATAAAGTGACTAGACTCTTTCCATACAAGAAGTGTCCTGTTTCACCTCGACGATGCATGGATTCGGCAGGTTCTGGCTCGTTAAGAGAAGAGCTCAGCGCCAGAGACGTCGGCCTTTTTGGCTTAGATTCTGATGAAGTTATCACAGCTCTCGTGGTCACATCAGACGAAGCAGAATGTAACGACGAGCTGTTAGTCTGTGCTTTCATTTCAACGGACGCTGAAGATACAGATATTTGTTCCGTGGTTGAGTTTTTCGACTGTTGTGAGATGGATGAACAGCAGCAGTCATCATCGTTAGATGAACCGGTTGTGGTGCTTGTGTTACACGTTGAGGTGTTGGTGGTGTAGGAGTATGGAGTGTAGGTAGGAGGTGTATGGGAGTTGTTGGGTCGTTGGTAGCGATACGAGGTGGAACTGGTACGGCTCGAAAGCAAATGCGACACCATATCTGTCAACGAATGAAGTTTGTCACCTCGCATTTCAATTACAAATAATCACAAAACAAACTATTCATGAATTTAAAAAGGTTTTTCATTTATTATTTTTTTCTTACGTTTAGGGTACTTTTCTTAAAATTAATCTGCGTGGTGACGTTATTTTGAACCTATTCTACGTGATTTTTGCAGATAAAATGCAGTCCACGGACATTTTTTAATCATGAGCGCAGTTTCTTTAATATTTCACTCTGAAATAAGAAGCAGTACTGAGCAGTGTTTATTTAATTCATAACCCACCATCATAGTCTTGCGTGGTGGTGCGGCGCGAGGGGAGAGAGGCCTGCGACCGCGACGGCACGCTTTGGCTGCGGAAAGATTTTTTCGTATCCCTGGGCTTGTTGACGTAGTTCTTTATGACGTCTTCTTCCCGACAGAACCTGCCAATTGCAAGCAGGTTTGATAATCGTACCCTAAATAAAGCATCAGTTAAAGCGAATTAAGGCAAAATAAATTGTTTTACTATCACACATTAGAATGAACCAACTTTGAATGCAGGGGCTTAATCAAGGAAAGTTCCGATTAGAATACAATCGACGAATAGTCTAGACTTAATACACCCTTTTATGAATAATTTCAAGTGACACGGGATTTTTCCGTAACCATAAAGTTTTCAACAAGTCATTTCATGAAAGATATAGCCAGCAGAAATTCTTGACGTTTCTACCATCGCGTTTCTGTGTCATTATCGGTCCGTTTTTTATTTATTTATACGCGTGTTGGCAGCCGCCAGGGCCGCGGCAAGCATCAAAGGCCCTCAAGTCACTGCAGGAAATGTCTAGCATGCTCCCAGACAATCGAATAAATAACGAGGAGTGTTGAGCACGTAACTTGAGCAGACAACATTAACCGCCTGCGCTCTACAATTCGAATTTATTAGCTAAGCTTTTGGCTCAGTTTTACTTTCTTCGGTGACGAGTGTAGTAATGCACAATGTATCAAAATTTCTAATATAATACGGCTCTCATTCTTTAATTATATGTTTGAAGTGAGAAAAATTAACGATAAAATCTTTCAAAATTCCACGTAATAAGAGTTAAATAAGAGAGAACTAAGAGAATAAGAGAGAACTATATTATGATGGCTTGTATGAGGAATGAATTTGTTTGGATTTAAAAGTGAGGAAAAATGACTGAAATATATCTTCAAGCAAGTGACATTTAATACCGCCGGCCTTGTTTTGGCATCCTTGTTCGTTTAGTACGTGACTGGCGTGAATTTATCGCTTACATCGGCAGACTGAGGCACGCTGAATTATGTGAATAACAAATTTTCCCTAAATGCATAAAATTCTGGCAATCTCTAGTTATTAGAAAACTCGATATTGAATAAGTTTATATCATCACAGAAGATATACACTAAATATTTTTGAATGTTTTGCCATTTCAGTCGAATGACGAGTCGAGATAGAACGCCTACAACTTGATGTACTCTACAATGTCTCTTGCTGCTTTCAATTAACTGAAAATTAAAATTTCAATCACGCTAAAAATTGATAAATTTCTGATAATCCCAAAATTAATTTAGCATGATAAACTTTAGTTTTCAATTAATGGCATCAGGTATACCACCAACAAATGTCTTGAACAAAATAATTCGTTTTAGTTGAAAACTTCCAATGAAATATAAATAGAACAATCGTTGTTAATTATATTTTCCGTAAAGAAACAACGTTTAAAAAACCTTGCTTTACAAGTTGTGTTCGTTTAAACAAGCTATTTTTTTGCATCTCTTCCACGTCTAGTGAACGGTCAGAAGTGCTTGGTCTCTGATATCTGACATGAGTATGTCTCACATAATTGTCTCTGTTACCTGATGACCATGAACATGTCTCAGGGAATTGTCTCTGTTACCTGATGTCCATGAGCATGTCTCGGGGGATATCACGACGACATATGGCACAATTCTTGGTGGTGTTTGCGATCCCTTTGACGCAGACCATGCAGAAGACGTGCCCGCACTCGAGGGCGATGGGCAGCGTGACCGGCCCTAGACAGACCGGGCACTCGTCGCCGCCCTCATCACCAGAGTCAGAGCCTGACTTCTTCTCTGTTGAATTATTAAATAATAGTACCGGGGACTTGGGTTATTCTAAAATAAAGGTAACTGTGATAAATGACAGTTATTACTACCAATTAATTCGAAATTTAAGTCTGACTTAAATTTCGACTTTTAGATTTTAATTACGCCGAAAAATCTGGTAAAATAGATAACACACTCTTTTCTGGTGATAATTTACATAAAGAGTAGGGTTATAGTAGTAATTTTAATTCTAAATTCAATGTAGGATTTTGATCGTAATTTCTTTTGGTTTCGTATCCCAGAGAACGATTCTAGCAGCTAATTTATTGTATTTTGAGAACATTTGGTTTCACTCACCTACATTTGATCTACATCATTCAAAGGCATGGAACAATTATTTGCTGTTTTATTTATTTATACAATTATTTGCTGTTTTTTATCACTGTTTTATTTTTTGTATCTTTGGTGAGACAAAAACATGGCAATCTTTGGTGAGAGACAATCATGGCAATCTTTGATTTGGTGAGAGGGAATTTCAAAACCAAAGATTGCCTCTCATCAAAGATTGTCATGATTGTCTCTCACCAAAGATTGCCATGATTGTCTCTTACCAAAGATTGCCATGTTTTTGTCTTACCAAAGATACAAAAAATGAAACAGCGAAAAGAAAACATGTCAAGACAACGTAATGATTATGCAAAATGATCTTACTAAAACTTTGCGCAAGCACGATTTTAGCATATGTCACTGAAAGTTCTATCAAACGCTTATGGCTACATCGATCTGTCTGATTTTCGGTGGAGAGATGGAGAAAAATATAGGGAACAAATTCTGACCTTCCAAAACTTTTTAACTCTATTACTTTTTGAGTTACAGCCATTCAAAGTTGAGTATCGTTCTTTTGGGATACCCTGTACAAATATTTTTTCTCTGTGAACTGCAGAAATTTGACGCTATCACACCTACAAAAAGTAACATCAGTGAATGCGTGTGAAGTTCCTACCTTTATCTTCAGGTGCCAGGTACTTGTGGTCGGAGTTATAATGAAACTGCAAGTGACGGAGCTGAACATATTTGGTACAGCCTTTACATCGCTCAGTTCGAGACCCGCAGGCATCCGTGTGTTTCTGTAGCTCGGACGCTTGCACTTGCAACTCGCAGTACTGGCACGACAGCATGCGCCGCGGACACTCGTCTTGCTGTGGCATCAATGCGGGAACAAAATGTAAATATTTTAGCACTGAAGTTACGAGAGCTTATTCAGTCGGGACACGGACACAAAAGACAAGACGAAAATTTCTTGCTCTCAATTAGGAAGTTCTGTATCATGCTGGGTCTCTTTCAGCGGTTAGCTTCTTTGAATAAGTTTGATTTTGAAGATATTAGGAGGAACAGGAGGCGTTGGAAAATCAAACTTAATTAAGAAATTTGATTGAAATATGAAAATTTGAAGAAAATATCTCTGTGCAGAAATCACCACAATAATTTTTTTCTAGCGCTTTTTAAAAACCTCTAGGAACAGGTAACATGCAACCAAATAAAGCAAGCAATCCGGCCTAAGAAGATAACTATTTTTTCGCGATTAATAAAGAATTCTTTTTAAAAACATTTATAAACAATTAGGCGAAGGTCAGTGATTTGAAAAATTGCTAAAGGTTCTCGAAGTTTAATTTTTCGAAAAAAATGATAAGACTTTCTCCCTAACTTTACTTTCAAAAGAGTGTGAGCGAGATTCTAAAAAAAAAGCATGTTTTTCACTTTTTTCCATTGAAGTAAGTAAGCTTTTTTGATGCACCCTATAGCTATCTGTTTTTTGGACACATTGTATGAACAGAAAAAATCATGATGCACTGAACGACATAATGGTTACTTTGTAGTTTATCCTTATTATTCTTAATGGTGGGGATGCATAAATAATTCAGCATGAATTCTACATTGTCTGCCTCTATGATCCTGAATGTCTATGAAATGTGAAAAAAATTATTGGAATAGTCCGTTTAACTTTGATCGTGCGAGAGCGTAAATGCCGTCACCGTGTCAGGGTTAATTACGCTGCCAGTAAAATCAATTTACAACTAATAAGTGCCTCGATCGAGTAACGCGATCTTTATGATCGAGTTACCCGTAATGTTGAACTCAATTTTAGTACGGAGGAAAACGCTAACATAAAATTAGGATTTCCAGACAAGGTCATCTGTGAACAAATTATCAGTACCACAACAAAGTTAGGACAACTTGCGAACATATGTATTTCAATAACTATTTTATGTAATATTTTGGTGGAAATATGATATAGCATGTTTTTTGGGTGGAACATTAATACAAATATTTTGCGTAATTCCACTACACAAAATAAATTTAATTTTCAAGCACTAGAAACTAAATTATCTATACTGAACAGAGTGTTGTAATATTGATGCCAATTGGGGCATTAATAAAATTACATATAAATACATATTTATAGCATTAAAAAACAGAAAAATATACGATCGCTGTTTTTCCATTACTTCTAAAAACACTTTGCTATATAGCCTGAGCCATCTTTTACATACTTACCATATACTGTACATTTAAAAGGGGCTAACATATAAAACATAACGTAATTTTGCTTTAAATAATCACATCTCATTCAAAGCTTACAATAAATTCACGAAAATCAACAATTCTCTAAAATAATTCAATAACTTTAGAATGTTTTCAAACGTTGACGTTTAGTCGATTACTGCTTGGGAGCAATTGTGGGCTGAGGCACCATACAACGCGCAGGGTGATTCACGGAAACTACCTGATTTGAGAACTGAATAAAAAAAAGAACTATTAAAGATATCATTACAATATAAACTTTATTGAAAAATTCATTGACTTAGTTTTTGTATCATTTAGTTTGAAAGATGACATTGGACATATGACGGCTCCCATTGTCAAGGCACTTAGTTTGTCAATTTTTGATGTTCCGTTCACTTCGCTGAAGCATATTGATGGGTATGTTGGCGATGGCTTGGCGTATGTTGTTCTTCAGATGAGTTATGGTCCTTGGACAGTCATTGTAAACAATTGACTTGAGATAACTTGCCTTAAATGTATTCACCAACGTAACAATCGATTTCCAACCAGGAACCGAGAACTGAGAATACGAAACCGAGAACAGACTGTTCGTTGAGTAGTAATAATGGAACGACCATTAGAAAAGTACAGCTCGACAGCAAACGCGCGCTGCTTTTTTGTCCAATGCATAGTGACAATTGACTAGATGGGACACAAGACGTCATGACCTTGTCGTTCATATGAAGTGCTAACCGCCCTTTTCCTACAACATCTGGCTGCTTGGCTCAAAATACCAAAAAGATATTTCCGTGAATCATCCTGTACATCAGGAAAGAAATAGTGAAGATATAAAATAAATATGACAAAGCATTGTAGCGTATGAGTTCGGATGCAGCATAGACCTGCGATGTACCTATCCATGGAAGACGAGTCTAAGTAGACGTAAAATAGTAAGTAAATCGTGCAAATGTAATTTATAAGCCGCCGAAACAATAATGAACTTTATTCTGAACAATGTTTTAGCAGTTGATTATCCATTTTAAAATATTGCATTTTTTCAGAATTTGAAACAGTTTAAAGGATAATTATAACCAGCCAAGTTTATTAGCTGAATAGGGTATTACCTAAATTCCGGACTTACATTTTAATTTTGTGATGTTTAATTAATATGAATTTTCTACCAAAGGTGGAGAATTTCCAATAATATAAATCATTATTTAAATGATGACGTGTCACAGTTTGTGATAGTGAATGCTTGTGCGATATAATGAGCAAATATGACCAGATTTAAAAGTTACCAGACTTAAATTACGTATTTGAGTAGATATATTGATTGTAAGGTGGATTTATGTCAAGATTAAATTATTGTGTAAATGACCCTTCATTGACTTCCAAGAATTATTTAATTAATTACCTGCTGAACCGTTTGCTGCGGCGTCATCTTCGAACTGACTGCAGCCTTCTATAAAATTATCAGCCACGTTCAAATACTTATTAATTGATGAAAATTCAATCACAACTTAAACGACATGGCAAGAACGCAAGGAAAACAGGCACTAAAATAAGTGGTTTTCCTTTTAGCGAAACTCTCGATGTACTGACTTGATTATGAAGGTTATTGAAAATAACTTCTGATTCTACGTAAAATTTCCGCAATGCAGAGGTTGATTCTTCACGCCACGTTCGAAAACTGAGGCTAAAATTTATTGAGTGAATGATCGTTATTTATGAATTTTTATTTTTTTACTATTAAACAAATATTAATTTAAGCAGAATATGCAGAAAATATTAAAATGCGAAAAATTGGTTGACTAAACCACCAATGACATCTGAAGAAGCCAAATTAGGATTAAAAAACATGAAAATGTCATGATTCGTTTCTTTTTCAGACGAAACCTTTCACAAATGCAACACGGGTTCAAATGCAACGTTTCACAACTGACTCTTTCTAGACGCTGTGCTCTCTGCGATTCATCAGCTCGATACGAACTCAAGAACCTGAAACATTAAAACCATTAAAATTAACGGGCGCGTGACAGGAGGGCGTCGTATGGCTGGTGACCACAGCTACTCTGCGCCTCACTGGGCGAGGAAGCTCACGCAGGCAACCGTCAAAGGGGCTGCATAATCGCTGCTTGCTGGTGAGTGCCAATTTCGGGCATGCGCGACGTCACATCAACTTGAACCTTTCGACCACGTCTCGTATTTTTTTTAATATGGCAAATTTTCATTGGAAAAATAATTGTAGATTTTTTATTAATTAATTTTTTATTAAAAATTATTAATTAAAAATTATGACGATTTGCTTATAAAAAGGGATTTTATTTAACAAATGAGTTAATTTAAATAAAAGAACAAGTATTAAAATCAAATTACCCAATCATCAACCAAAATCACGTGAATGCAGCAATAACGGAAAATAATAATAGGAAAAGCTTGGGATTGTACCAGGTTAAGAATATCTACTACCTAGCGCATGTAGCGTCAAATGGCACTACAACGATGCATCGCAGATGACAGTATAAGTTTTGCAGCGATTCGAGGCCTAAGCCGACTGCAGTTGTCAGCTTGATTATTCGCTCACAAAATGTGAGCAGCCATACTCTTCTCTAGCTACCTCAACTACGCAAGTGAGCCGATAAAATCCTTGTTGGCTGCACCCACCACGTACAGAGCAGATAAGCAGCTCGCTGGCTACACCTATGGTGCATTTGAGCCGATAAACACCTCGCCGGCTACACCTATAGCGCATTTAAGCCGATAAACACCTCGCCGGCTACACCTATGGTGCACTTGAGCCGATAAACACCTCGCCGGCTACACGTATGGTGCACTTGAGCCGATAAACATCTCGCTGGCTACACCTATGTTGGGCTTGAGCCGATAAACACCTCGACGGCTACACCTATGGTGCACTTGAGCCGATAAACACCTCGCTGGCTACACCTATGGTGCGCTTGAGCCGATAAACACCTCGACGGCTACACCTACGGGGCACCTGAGCCGATAAGCACTTCTCTGGCTACACCTACGGGGCACCTGAGCCGATAAGCACTTCTCTGGCTACACCTGAGCCGATAAACACCTCGCTGGCTACGCCCACCGCGTACCCGATTTGCACAGTCGAGGTCTGACGACATAGCGGCTCCTCTTAACCTTCTTACCGCGTTGCCAAAAGAGGGGGGGGGGGGCAGCGGCTGGCATCGAGACAAGACGTCTTGAGCTAGCTAGACCATGTCTCTACCCTCGCCCTCCTCGTGCTTGCTTTGATCTTTCAGTAGTAGTCTTCGAGTGGTTAAGCTCTATTTGTTTAGAATTTTCGTTGCATGGTCTTATATATGTTCTCCATACAAAACACAAGAAAAAATCATTTTGGATGGTTTATTCGGTTTATAAGTGTAGTCAGACAACAAAAATTCACAGAACGAAATTCAATAGTCGTTACTTCGCCTCACAGAAAGAAAATTCACAGAAATTTCTAATTTATTTCTACCTGCTATACTGGAGACTCACTCCTTCGAGAAACAAATAGCATAACTCATCACTTTTCCAGGTCTTTTCACAAATAGTTGAAAACACGGTCTCCATTCAAAAATTAAATCTATCATCCTTTAAGAAATGACGGTGTTTTAATGACGTAAACTTGATCATTATT